ACCCCCCAAAAAAACAACCCCCCCACCCCAGCCCCTCCCCGACCCCCGCCGGGCTCCCTGTGCCCCAAAAAAACCCAGAAGGGAATTGGGGATCTCCCCCCGCGCCCCCACGGGGACCCCTCATGGGGGGGGGTCGGACCCCCATCGTCCCCCCAGTCCTGCCCAGTCACGCTGACTGGGGGCCCGTGTGACAAACGGGGACAAGGGCCAAGGCCTCGCTGCCGGAGGGGACAGAAAGGGGGAGGGAGGGGGGGTCTCGCTTTTCCCCGCCCCAGCGGGGCCGGGTTTATAAAAATCCCTGCCCGGGGGTTCGAGCCGGCCACAGCCGCGTTCTCGCTTCAACAGTGCTTGAACGGAACCGGCTGCTCTCGGCCCTTTGTCCATCCCCATCCCATCCATCCGTCCGTCTGTCCATCCGTCTGTCCCGCCATGGACTCCCAAATCCGCCAGAATTTCCACCGCGACTGCGAAGCCGCCGTGAACCGCATGGCCAACATGGAGCTGCACGCCTCCTACGTTTACCTCTCCATGGTAAGCGGGGGGGGCTCGGGACCCCCGACCCTGGGATGGTGGAATCCCAGGAATTTTGGGGAGGGGGGTGGGATATCCTGACGTGTCCCCCCCCCCCATCCCCTCTCTCCCCGCAGGGTTTTTATTTCGACAGGGACGACGTGGCTCTGTCGCGACTGGCTCGGTTTTTCCTGGAGCGGTCGCGGGAGCAGCGGGAAGGCGCCGAGGGGCTCCTGCGCTTCCAGACTCGCCGCGGGGGCCGAGTTCTCCTGCAGGACATCAAGGTGTGCGCTGGTGGGGGGTGAATTTTTAAAAAAAAACCTCGGTGTAATCATTGACAAAGGCGCTGTAACTAATTAAAGTTACACAGCGGTGTGTTTATTCACCGGCACGGGAGTCACCTGGGAAAGGCGTGACCGCCCCGAACAAGGTTCTTTGCCCTTTATTTATTCCCCAAGATCTCACAGACGATTTATGTGCAAAGCCCCAGCACCTCCCATCCCCACCCCGTATTAAAATGAGCCCGTTCGTCCTTCTCGCGTGCGCAGTTCTTACCCTGAATTGGGTCGGTGGTCTCGAAATGGGTCGGTGGTCTGGAAGGATGAAGGCAGGAGAGTCTTCATCAGGTGTCTGTGACCCTCGGGCACGATCCGAGGCCCCCGTGCTTTGTGATTAACGGTTTACTTAATTACCTTTCTTCTGTACGTGAATTTATAATAGCAGATAATTACACCAATTAGCTCCAGCCTAATCATCTGGTAATTATTAACCCGCCACTTACCAACCTAACTTACATCTTGGTCATGGAAACTGCTTCTACCCTTGGCAAAAATCTCAACTTTTTAAAGCGGTGACTCGGGGCCGGTGGTGGGAGGGGGTCTCGGGTGGTTTTGGGGTCCGGGGTCCCCCCGGTGCTGACGCTCCGTGCCCCGCAGAAGCCGGAGCGGGACACGTGGGGCTCGGCGCTGGAGGCGGCGGAGGCGGCGCTGCACCTGGAGCAATCGGTGAACCGGGAGCTGCTGCACCTGCACGGCCTGGCTGCCGACAAGGGCGACCCCCACGTGAGTGAGGGGGCTCCTCCTCCTTGAGCCCCCCGACCCCTCCAACCTCCGAGCCCCCTCCCCTAATTCCTGCCTTTTCCCACCCCTCCTTGTCCCTGACCTCCCCCAGCCCCTCAGCCCTGCCTGAGCTCGCTCTGTCCCGCAGCTCTGTGACTTCCTGGAGTCCCATTACCTGGATGAGCAGGTGAAGGCCATCAAGGTGCTGGGCGACCACGCCACCAACCTGCGGCGTCTCAGCGGTGACGCCGCCGGCCCCGGCTTCGGCGAGTACCTGTTCGACCGTCTGAGCCTGGAGGAGCGCAGCTGAACACCTGTCCTCACCTGTCCTCATCTGTCCCATCTGTCCTCACCTGTTCCCACCTGTTCCCACCTGTCCCCACCTGTCCCCACCTGTCCTCACCTTTCCTCACCTTTCCTCATCTGTCCCACCTGTCCCCACCTGTCCTCACCTGTCCTCATCTGTCCCCACCTTTCCTCATCTGTCCCCACCTGTCCCCACCTGTCCTCATCTGTCCCACCTGTCCCCACCTGTCCTCACCTGTCCCCACCTGTCCCACCTTCCTGAGACCCCCCAGACCCTCATAACTCCCCCTGCCCCGTCCAAGGGGGCTCTGCCTGCTGGGTTCTCCCAGCACGATCCCAATAAAGGCTCTGCCATGGCAATCTGGGCCCACCTGTCCTCACCTGTCCCCACCTGTCCCACCTTCCTGCGACCCCCAGACCCTCATAACTCCCCCTGCCCCATCCAAGGGGGCTCTGTCTGCTGGGTTCTCCCAGCACGATCCCAATAAAGGCTCTGCCATGGCAATCTGGGCCCACCTGTCCCCACCTGTCCCACCTTCCTGTGACCCCCAGACCCTC